ATGGTACTGCAGGTTGAGTGGGAGAGCAGGGAGATGAAATCCATGGATTTTGCTTAACCTTTACTGATAGCCTCCCCTCTGTATATGGAGGACTTTACTTGTCCCTAAGCCAACTACCTAGATTGTATCTTAGGCACAAACCAATCTAGTTACAGTCATATCTCAATGATCCTAATTATAAAAGGAAATACATGAATAGTGGATACTCTTGGGCCCTACGTGGAGCCCACGTTGTCCGACCTTCTGAGGCCAGCACCTGTACTGCCGGCCAATCATGACATATGACTTTCCATATATTTTGCATGTTAAAGTGAATTTCCATTTGAAATTTTGGCTGTTCTGATCTGAAATACCAGTGTTTCCAAACTATCATCAGCTTAAATTTGATTAACTTTGTGGTGAAGTGTAAATTTGCTTTGAGTATTACATCATGTGTTGGTATTCATTTGTTAGCTATGTTTTTGTTCTGAACAAGATTAGACCTAAAACTTCATATTGAAACTATGTGTTATTACGCAAGCATGGTGTAGCTTTTAGTGGAGCTTCTAAGCTTTCATTTTAGAGGTTTGCATTTCAACATTAATGTTTATATTATACTTTATTGTTGTACATACTGAATTCTGTCTGAGCTGTTGTTGGGGCTATATGATATCTGAGAAGACAGATGCCATATATATAGAAACAGGACTAGATCAGTCCACACAAATGTTCTTGTAGATTTGACCACGATGATTTGGAGCCTGTTAGGGTCCTCATAAATAACATGTTTGTCAGCAATAAAAACGTTTTATTTTGTTCCTAGGCTCGTAACCTTTGTTCTATCTTTCAAACTCATCATAATCAACTTGATTTTAACTTCTTTTTTGTGCAACCTTGTAAAATACCAAAGGAGGTATTAATTACTTCTATACCGTTATGAGCAGGTCAACAGTTCTGGCGTCATGCCTATCATATTTTCTACATCTTCACTGGCTTTGCCTGGTACTTTGGCACGGTTCGCTGGCTTAGACTTTCTTAAGAAGGCTGCCATAGCCCTTAAATCAGGAGGTAAACTGTCTTGATTTCTAGTTAATTGAAATTGCTGCATTTTTCAGGAGAATGCCAAACTCATGAATTACTTGTTCACAAACTGAGCCCAAATTTATTTTTCTGCTGTAGGTGCTCTCTATCTTCCAACTAATGTATTACTTATAGCCTTCTTCAATTATTATTACACGTTTCTCCAATTGGATCCTGATGATCTTAGTGAGCAATTGAAGCGGCAAGGCGCTTCGATACCGCTTGTGAGGCCAGGAAAAAGTACAGCTGCTTATATTAAAACAGTGAGTTCTTACACTTCCATTAAAGTAGATGCTTTTCTTCAATTCTGATGCACAAGTTTCAACTAGTTACCTTATTGTTGTAAAACGTGGAAGCTGTCTATATCCAACTTTATGACACGTTCCCCTCAACAAAAAAGAACTTTTGGATTACAAAATCCTACCTAGTAGGGACTGGGAAATTGTTGGTAGGGTCCTGTGACAAATTTAGAAAACTGATAAAGTAGAAAATGATTATTGTTTTCCGAAAGAATCTTTTGACCCATGGAGTGGAGTTTGTGCTTTTGCAAATTTGAGGAAGTGTAGTTGAAAGATTTTTTGCAAGACGTGGGTTGGGTGGTGTATATTCTCAGATACAAAGATGTCGTCACATCTAACTGGCATGCCCACTAACTCGTGTATTGCATTTGAAAGGTTTATGTAAGGTTAGCTGATTTTACGGAAGTGTTGTGTGAGAATGATGGTTTTTTTTACAATGATAGATATTGCTGCTAGATAGGTTTTCTCTGTTCTTGCATCTGGGAACTGCTTGCAAATGATGTTTTTACTTATGTAGTTATGTGTTTGGTTGCAATATCTTAACTATTGTGGAACCTGGCCATATTTTTAAAAAGTATTTGATAATTTTAAAAGCAACATGAAGTGTCCTACATTCTATCCATAACGGCTTGGTTGGATATAAGTCTGTGACTTTTAAACTCCCTTTATCTTATATTTTATTGAGACAATTATGTCATTGCAGGTTCTTAGTCGCATATCTGTCCTGGGATCTGCATTTCTTGCTGTGCTAGCTGCTGGACCATCTGTAGTTGAACAGATAAGTCACTTGACAGCATTCGGGATTTGCTGGGACTTCAGTGCTTATCCTTGTTGGATGTGCAACAGACACAGCTCGGAAAGTTCAAGCAGAAATAATTTCCCAGAAATATAAGAATATTGAGTTCTATGATGTCAACCGCTTTGACCAATAGTTGATCTCACTGGTCATTCTTTTCAACCTGTACTTAGATTTTAATTGTGTAATTGAATATTGGATCCGTAAGGGCAGTATTCTAAGCATTTCTTATTGTTCACTTGGATCTTAATTTTTCTACTGTGTATAGCACTTAAATCTATACTTAAGGTACATAAATCGTTCATCTGTACACTAACATGTCAGAGCACTCAAGTCTTAAAGCTATGAATGCTCATTGTTATTCACAATTCTTGTTGCTAATGATGTAACATGTATTTTGTCCTTCAGAAAAAGGAGCTTAAATTACGATTCCCTTCCATATTTATTATATTTAACTTTATTAAATCAACTGAAGAACTGGCTGAATGGTCATGATTTCTTTGAGGCAAGGTGAGATGTACTGATTAAATAGGGCTGAGAGTTGAACTCAGCTGTTTCATTTTGTACACCACTATGAACATGCACAACTCATTTTCTCATCTTATGTGGTTAGTTTCTCTCTTTTTTTTCAGGTTTTTATTTTGTGGTTTTATTATTATGTGACTAAGTTCTGCTTTTTTCTCCCCAATATCTAGCTTTGACTCATGCAAATAGATCAATATGTTTTCATTGATCTTGCACCTGGAGTTGGCACATTTGATAAAATTGTTTTGGTGTCTGCAATATTCATTTCCCTGAGCCATTAGTTCATCATTCAAGCATTATGTCAACATCTTTAACAATTAAACAATGCAAGAATGGAAGAGGGTTATGAAATTTTAGGAGCCTTAGCTGTTACACAGGGAGTGAGACCATCATTTGTTTGATTCACAAGTCTCTTCAACCTCTTGACTTTATGAATGCATGTTATTTACTATTCTTAGACATATCTGCAGAGAAAAGTGGCTGACCATTCTGTTTTTTTTTTCTTTCTAAAAGTTTTAAGGCTATTTGAGAAGTGGCTATGGACCTGTTCGTGGGCTGTTCATTTAGCTTTTCTTTTTTATCTTAAGCCTGGCCTGAGCTGTGTTCTGTGTCAGTGTTAGGATTAATCTTGTCATATAGGCATGTTAGTGTTAAACATGCTTGTATAAGCCTAGATGGCTCCTGGATGAGAGCTACATGAAGACAGCAGCTCTGAAGTTTCCTGTACTAGCTAGTTGTTAGTCGAGTCGACTTGAAGTTTACCACTGCAAGAAGCAAGCTGTGATGGGATAAGTCTCATGTGTTGGCTGGTCTCTGTGGGGCTGTGCTGGTCACATGGTCCTTGTGGCTGCATGGTCTGTTTTAGGACAGCATCTTAGACTAGAGGATAGCATCTTAGAGGGACAGCATCTTAGCATCTAGGACAACATCTTAGAGGACAGCATCTTAGCATCTAGTACAAACATCTTAGAGACTAGCATCTTGGCATATGCTTGGTATTGGCTAGCAGCCTATAAATATGTACCCCAACCCCTCAAAGTTGGTATGACATTTGTGAGAAATAAACCAGAAAATTGCTCCAACTCCTAGTGTCATCATCTCTCGATAAGAGTAAGAATTCACATCCAAGAATGCTTGGGCAAGCTTGATGACCTTTGAAAGGTTCAGCCTTTGAAGCCCAACCTAAAGTTTTGCCTGACCTGGGTTTGGAACAGATCTTATAAACTGACCCTCCTTGTGCCAGAAAGAACCAGCTGAGACACAATGCCTCAAGTAATGTGGCCATGGACCAATGAGAAGAATGATTCTCACATACGCTTAAAACTATTTTTTTTACTGTAGGTGCTTTGAATGCAGCATCCTGAATTTTTTTTTTTCCACAAAAAGTTCAAGCCTCAGCTTTGGGGGGGGGGGGGGACTTCTTGAGTTCTTTCACTTAGTACTTATATTCTGATGGCCGTTAGTAATGGCTGTGGGGCATTTTATTTTAGAAACTCCCTGCTGCAGAAATTTCATGATTGTAGTATGGGGAATTAAATTAATTTGTCCAGTGGCTCCTGCTACCATCTATCCTTGACCTTTATTGTTGTTCTTGAATGATCGCAAGCATTTCTTTGACTGCCTCACCCACAGGTATACTGTAGGCGCCTCTGCATGGTGGAAAGAGGTCATGTTCACCCAGATGGCATCTTCTAGTTGCTGATCCATTTCTGAGAAGAGCAGCACCAGAGATTCAAGTTGACATTTGACAGGAGGATGCCTCTTTTCATCAATTAATTGTGCCACAGGATATATTTGGTGTTTATCACTATTGTTTTGCTGCCTCATTTAAAACATGAGAACAAGCAAAACCTGTGGTATCACTACAGAGTGTATTAACACTAACTAGGAAGTTGCTCACATGTCAGACGAGACTAAGACACAAAGTGCTATCTTATTTCCTGATGAAGGTTTGCTGCTAATTGGATCATAGAAATCGGAACTGAGATGTATATTTATCAGGTAACCTATCATCTTTCATTCTCCATTTCTGTTTGCTGTATTTAGAATTTATAGAAAATATGTCATCTTATGAAAATGCCTGGAGTTTTCTTACCCTTTTCCACATATACTCTGGAGGATAAGTGAGTTCTGAGTACAGACAACACATGTCTGGGTCGAGTCTAGAGAGAAATGATGACAGCATCAGGCTGAAGATTTCACTCATCAATTTTATTTTGTGCATATTTCTCTCCTATGTGGGGGGAAGAGTGTTTCAGCATCTAGGGACACTGGGTAAATCCAGTTTAGTTGACATGCTAATTGCTAACAGCTAACTTCTAATTATGTGTGCAACCTTGTTTTCATTGTGTTACACATATGGAACCTTGGCCTAGATGTCTTTCTTATCTTCCTTGCAGGTTCTATTTTTAAGGATTTGTTTAATCCACAAGTGTCATATTTTGTTGCTATTTGCTGCGCTGAGTGGGACTTAATCATTTATGCAGGGAGTTAAGTTTCAAAACCTACAACTATTGTGACGTATCACACATGTATCAAGTAAGTACAACTTCTAGATCCTATTTCAAAACCCTACAACTATTTTTACATATGTACCAAAAAGCTAGTACATCTTTGACCACATGACAATGTGGCCCCACATGTTATCCTCATATGGCATGCAACATGGTTCCATGAGGTCGGCATGTGGGACCACATTGTCATCTGGTCAAATGGTTGTAGCCTTTGAGACTATCAAAATTGTAGTCCTTTTGAAATAGGCCATTTGTATTTTTTTTGTACACATGCTAAATTAGTTTTAGGTTTATGAAATTTATTCTTTGTACTGGTTCAAATGACACCACAAGAAGCAACTTGGTGAGGGTTAAGCTTAGTGCTAATACCCCAATGTATCTAGTTTTACCTATTTACTATTCACTATCTAGGCTAGTTACTATTCACCGCCTAGTAGTTTTAGATGTCTTAGCATCCAAGCTAGCATCCGCTTTATGCACTAGAATATGTTGTAGTAGTTGAGACCTTGTATCCCAAGTTCGCTATTTCTATTAATACAAAGAAGCTGCCTATGGCCAAGTCGCCTCTTGCGCATCAAATTCCACTTGTCTAGTTTGTTACCTGTCCAACAATTGGTATCTAGAGCCAAGGTTAGGTGAGAGCTAGGCCATGTCCACCTCCAGCGAAAGCGTGCTTTCTGCGTGCGTACCTTGTCGCCAACACCAATGCCGACAGACAGGCGGTGATCAACCTGACCGGACGCCGATCGTCGTGCTCGGTAGCGTGGCACAGCGGCGGAGGCCTTGACCACCACAAAGCGATCGAGGCGGCCAGCGGCGATGGCGGCGGCCAGTGCAGCCGAACACAACCGCCCGGCGCTACGTCACGTGCGGAGATGGAGCGCGGCCCTAGAGGATCGCGAGCGGCGCCATCATGTAACGAACACAACAAGGGCTTCACGCCGGAGATGGAGCGGCAGCCCGGAGGATCGTGGAGCCCGGCGTGGCGCCGCGCACCTTCACCATTGCCGGAAGTCGTCAGCGACGCTTGAAGCCGTCGCGGAGTCGCTTTGCATGCTCGCATTGAGCGGTGTACAAGGACTCTCGACGTGGAGCGCCGCGTGGCGATCTTGACCAAGACCAACTACCACGAGTGGAGTCTGCTCATAAAGGTCAAGATGCAGGCGCGCCAGCTCTGGGGCGCCATCAAGTATGGAGACCTCCCGTACCACGACGATCGGGGCGCGCTCGAGGCCGTCATCGCTGGAGTGCCGCCGGAGATGGGTGCGCCAGCTACGACAAAGGCCTCTCATAAGGAGGCGTGGGACTCCATCGCTGTGGCGCGCATCGGCGTCGACCGCGTCCGTCGCGTCACGCTGCAACGACTACGCAAGGACTGGGAGAACCTCGCCTTCCGCCCCGGTGAGCATATCGAGTACTTCGCCCTTCGTCTCTCCGCGCTGAAGCAGCAGATGGCTTGCCACGGTGATACGGACCTCAGGGAGGAGCAGGCGTTGGAGAAACTGCTTCGAGCCGTGCCGAAGAAGTACGCCCAGCTAAGGATCGCGATCGAGACCCTCCTCGACTTCTAGGACCTCACCATGGAGGAGGTCACCGGGAGGCTGAAGACGGTGGACGATCTCGAGGAAGAACCTCCCACCGAGCCGATAATCGTTGGTGGGAAGCTGATGTACACTGAGGAGCAGTGGCTCGCTAGGCAGAAGGAGAAGAGTGGAGACGGCTCCGGCACATCCACTTCGTCCAAGGAGCATCGCCGGCGTCCCTGCGGCGGCAAGAAGCAGAAGCCAAAGGGTGAGCGTGGTGACCGTGGCGGCGGCGGGCAAGGAGAGAAATTTGGAGTCATGCCATGGCCGAACGCAAAGCGAACAGCGACGACGACACCGCCTCAAGCGCCATCGCGTCCGGACACACAGAGGCAAAGGACTGCCCCCACCCTCGACGTGAACGTGGTGGTGCAGCGAACGTCGCGGAGGTGGATGACGACGAGGCGTCTCTCTTCCTCGCCCACGGCTTCTTGGAGCTGGATGCGGAGGAGAATATCTTCTGCTCCAAGGCCGA